TGTCTTTGTTTAGTTTTGGCGATTTCAGATATCTTCATTTATATTCATTTTTTCTAATCGTACCCGCTTTGACGTCGTTTCGGGTAGGATTACAACTAATTCTACCTGACATGACGTAAAAGCGGGTAGGATTAGAAAAAATGAATATAAGCAGGTGTATTAGTTATTAATTGCCCTGCGAGAACAAAGGGAATACCCGCAATCATGATATTACTTATGGTATGGTTCCAACCAAATTTTATAACCCATGGTATCATCCATGTATATGTAATGAACGACTCTGTATTAGCTTTCCTTTTCACTGGTTGACATGGCAACCGTCGCTTCAAAGTATCCGATAGGGCATGATAATAAATCCCTCTACAACGCAGGCAACGGTTGCCGTTACGAGTTCATCTCGTGCCAAAGTGAGCACTCTTCACCATTAGGTTATCACTTAGTGCTAGTTGATGTTTTGGCTTGATTTCTATTTCAATAAAATTTCAATAATTCATGAGGAAAAGACAAAGGAAATCACTGCCGTGTCGGTGGTTTTATTTATATAAACTTTAGCTTTGATTTTCTCGGCCTAGACAATGTTGATTTCTAAAATTACTTCGCCAATGAAAAGCAGTGCTGTTGCCTCGAGTTTGTATATCACAACACGGCCGCTCATGCTGTATATATAACATTAACTAAGCATACAAAATAATTATACATATTTATTATGAGTTGACTTCTCATGTCAAAGCATACACTCAAGCAAATTCATTCTCACATCAATTGACAAGCAGGGTGTTGTAGGCCTTTCCTGTTTCAGAAAAGCATTTGGGTTGAATCTAGATCTATTAATCATCGCTTCGTTGCTACTTGATTTTTCTAGTTGGACGTCCATTCTATATTTTATACTCACAGATGACATACATGCTTTTTGGGTAAATGTGTGTATTCCTTCCACAGGAGTGGATTTAAAAGACTGACTTGTTGCCTGCCACTGAATAATAACTTCACTTTGTTGAGTCAAGTTAAAGACTCCTAAGGTGAGGGTGGCTGTGAACAATTCTTGGTTTCCTCTTAAATTGTTGACCTTGACAACTCCAGTAATTACCAGGACCATTCTATAACCACAGTACCAAAATTGATCTGATACGAGTCTTTTGTCCGTTCCAACCAACTTATCCAACTCATCTCTTGGTATCACCCATGTGTAAGGAATGAACGGCTGCGTAGTAGCTTTCCTCTTCACTGGTTGACACAGCAACCGTCGCTTCATGCTATCTGATAGAGCATGATAACTGATCCCTCTTAAGTAATGGTCATTGAAATCTGGTAGCTTCCTTGCAACAGCATTGTGCTGTGCAACATTGTACAGATAATCAACAGGCATCAATTCAAATCTGACAACGGACAACAGGGATGGCATTCCCTCACTTTCTAAGACATTCTCAATTCCACGGTACTCAATCCAATACATTAATGCGTGAAAAATAGTATTCTCACTAGCTGTGACCAGTTTATCGCTGCTTAGGAGATATTTCAACGACGGCTCGTACAGGTCTGTAAAACTTTTTGTCTGCCATGTTTTATCTAAAGGGCTGAATTCTTTTGCAAGAAAGGACTGTAGCGTGTCTACAAGATCTTCAACATCTGTGATTGTATTATCAATTTTAATAAAGCACATAATCTTCTCACAAATGTCAAGGGAAACCACTGCAGCTTGTAAGCAGTATTTAGATTTCTTGAAGACAAATTTCGCATCGTATATATGAGCAAGTTTCAAAACCTCCAAAAGTTCGTCTACCTTAGCGATATCTAGAATATCGATCCTGTACATTGCTTCTAATAACATCAAATGAGCTTGCTCCTCGCTTGCCGAGATCTGAATAGGAACTTCAGTGGCGCTTGATTCCCTCATTCCACCAAAAAACAAGGAACGGAAGTAGGAGCTTTGTACAGCTAGCCATGAACTATGAATGTAGAATTTATGCTGTCGAATGATTTCTTCCTTACTACCACGACGGCTGGCTTCATTGCTCTTATTCGAAGTCTCACTGCTATTTCCACTTTGTTCTTCGTTATTCGAGGTGAGATTTTCATCATTTGAATCTTTTTCGACTTCGCAATCATGCTGGCTTTTCGTTTCGTTTTCATTGCTTTCATTCTGATTTGTTTCCGCGTTTTCGTTAAACGCAGTGTCTGCATTCTCGTTAGTTTCGGTCGCTTTTTGGATTTGTACATCTTCGATTTTATCGCTTGCCTCGTCGTCATTTCTTTGGCTGTCTTCACCATTTGAAGCGAATTCGTCATCGTGGCTTTCACTTTCCTTTTCGTTTCGTTCGCTGTCGCGGCTTTCCAAGGCTTCACAGATTTTCTCAGGTTTAGCTACTTGTTTTAGTACAGGAGTGAGTTCGCTTCTCTCCGCATTCATTCCTTCCCTCTCAGTTTGAAGTGGAGATTCATATTCGTTTTCATCTTCGCTCCCATCCTCGCTCCCGTCTTCGCTACCATCTTCGCTTTGAGCGCTCGCTTCGCTCCCACTTCTCTCGTTTTTAACACTTAATACGTGTTGCCACAAAGCTTTTCCAACAACATCAAACACCAAAACTCTGTCATGCAAATCCGGCTTGTTAAACTCAGCTTCATACAGCTTTGATAATTCTAGTACATCGTTCTCTTTTAAAGCACGCGACATTCCAGTAACCAAGTTATAAAGTATCAAACGAAATAGTCAAAATATAACGTCCTTGGCCGTTGTTTTCAAGCGTGTCTATGCGCACCGCAAATATAGAGCTGTTTCTCCGGGTTATGTAGCAAAAGTTATCATTGGACAATTTCTAATCAGGTCTAAACAAACAGGTATAATTTCGCGTTTTGGTTTGCCGACAGTAAATTGCGAATTAATATTTTCGTCAAATTGAGAAAACCGGTAAAAATATCGTTTCATAAGATAAAGCAATTTTGTTTTGATACGACCTGTAAATTGTACCAAAACGCATATGAGGCCATGTTATAAAAGGCAGATATTCCTTTAATAACTGGAAACGCAATGTTTTCAGAAAATACTTTTGCAGGTTACAGTAAGTATCAGAGCATGCAGACGAGTGCGACTTGTTGTGCGGTATGCAATGCGATTTTATTTATGCGTTCGAACCTGCTTCTACACTTTTCGCAACGAAGCGCGAGATGTTTTAGCGTCCAACAACACAGTAAAAACACACCACCGCAACTTGCCTAACAATATTTTGGAAAAGCAAGAAATCACGAAACAGACAAAAGTGTAAGTCTGTAACTAGGGAAAAGCGAGACTCCAATAATCACCGATAACAACAACATTTGTTCATAGGGACTAGGTTTTGTTCAGTTATCGTTTTATTTGTAATTGAGCGATTCAATAGAATTTGCTCCTTCAACTTCATGCCCTGACAGAAAGAAATACCGTATTTACTCAATTGAGCGCCGCCCCCGATTGACATTGAGCGCCGCCCCCGCATAAGCGCCAGATTTGAGATCAAATTTTTTTAACGAGCGCCGCACTAAACAGTGTAAAAAACTTTCCGCCTTCAAAATGGGGACACATTTAGTGACATAAAACTATTAAAAGTTCTTGTTATAATTTACAAATAGAAGATTTTTTAAAGAACGCCGCCCCTGAATGAGCGCCGCATCTGAAGCTCTGAAAATTTAAAGAGCGCCACGGCGCTCAAGCGAGTAAATACGGCACTCCTCAGTGACTCAAGGTTAATTCCATTTGGATTGAAATGCAATTCCCGGAATATTGAAATCGGATCTGTATCACAGATTTGCATACTCTTCAGGGTGTAATAAATATTTACCCTTTTTCACTCTTTGATTGGCTGGCTTAAATATAGCTTAAATATAGCCATCCAATAAGCTTAAGCCAAGTATAGTTATCGTCTACAGCTATTGCACGGACAACGCGAATACAAGCTTCTGGCCGAGACATTTATTTGTTTAAGTGAAAGGCAAAATGAGTGTATTCACTCAGACAATATCGCGTGAAGTAAAATTGCACGATGTACTAGAATTATTGAAGTTGTTCGAAGCAGAGTTTAACAAGCCTGATCTGCATGACAGAGTTTTAATATTTGATGTTGTCGCTTCACGGCCACTTAAACTTAGCGTAGCAACTGTTGAAGAACATAAAAGAAGTGAGAACGAAGCTAGCAGTCGAAGCAAAGATAGAAGCGATGGTGAAACTGAAAACGTGGAAATAGGTGTGAATTCAAACGATGAGAGTGAAACCGTGTATGTAAATGGTTAGTATTTTAAACTTATTTACATGATCACGGAATCCAAAGTATGTATCGTGTAAACACAGTGAAAGGAGATAAATAGGAAGCATTGGCAGGGGGGGGGGGGATAAGGCTAAATAAAAACAATTGTATAATTCAGTTTTTACTGCAAAACAATTGATCAATAAACAGATATTATTAAGTTCTTTGAATGTTTGCATGGCGATAAAATATAATTGTTTTTGTTTGTGGAAACACCACGTAAATTTATTACTGCAAAGCTTTCGATCCGTAAGCCCGGATCTTCATCAGTGCTAATAATATGTGACTTGTTTAATTCACACGCTCTTTTTATCACAGAATAGGAAGTTATACCAGAAGCGTAACTCTAGTCGTTTCCCTTATTGTTTGACGTCCACGAAAATTTTAACTCGCTCACGTCAGGCCACGCCATCCTGGCTAGTACCATAGATTATAGATCATACCAGATGTCTCACTGTGTATCTATCTCTATGATTTTCGTGTCCGCGATTTTCGCAAGGCTATCACGCCAGATGATGCGCGACACTTACTGCCAAAATGGCGCTTACTGCCAAAAGGCGTGATTGCTCACGTTTCATGGCGTGGATTACACTTACTGCCAAAATGGCGGCCAATTCGTGCTCATAAAAAATCGCGGACACAATTTTGGCTGAGTGAGACATCTGGTATAATCTATAATCTATGCTAGTACAGCCGGAAGTTTTTATCAGGATTTGGTAGGTACAAAGTGCCGGTTGTACTAGCCAGGATGGCGTGATTGATGACGAATCGCTTGTAAAAACGCGGACAAATATTTGCTCGAGTTACGCTTCTGGTATAACTTCCTATTCTGTGTTTTTATATACAAGAGTGTCGTGATCTGCTGGCGCGCGTCATTTGAAATTTAATTAAACGGCACATCAACCACGTCATTTCACAACCTCGTTCCCAGGCTATTTGCTCTTGGGAAGCAAAGACCCTGGTCGGAGCTGGTCACGTGAACCCCCAGATTTTGGGGGTAAATTGAATTTGATCTCAGGGAGGGGTAGGAGAGTAGTCTGTTTGTT